GAGAGAGAGAGAGAGAGAGAGAGAGAGAGAGAGAGAGAGAGAGAGAGAGAGAGAGAGAGAGAGAGAGAGAGAGAGAGAGAGAGAGAGACCTGCAGGTGTCTTGTGATGTCTCGCAGGGCATACAGCGCATGCTTCATTCGCAGAAGGAATCCAAATATTCTGCTGTAACGAAGCAGGACTGCTGGGGTTAACACCAGACTGACTGGCCAGTCAACAGAGTAGTGAAGTTGAATGAAGTCGTATGCATCGAGTCCTGCAATGCCAAACAGGAAACAATCAGCATTCGGAGAGCACACAGGTTCGCTCCGATGTCACTTGAAGCCAACAGGATGTCTGCAACATACACATTCCACTGATGTAAACCACACATATTCTCATCCCCTCCCCACTCCACATTACCAAATCCCAGATTATCCCAAGAACAATCAAACTAGGTCCTACTATGTGTGGCATTCGACTGACGTAAACCCTGTCCATGCTCATCCCTACGCCAATCAAAGCCAAATTCAATTTAATTCATCCCAAATTGATCAACCTACATCCTGCCGTTTAAGTTTTCATGCTGCGACCCAGCACAATTCCCTACCGTCCACATGCTTTTTCTTTCTTTTTCTTTTTTTTTCATGCTGCGACCCAGCACAATTCCCTANCAATTCCCTACCGTCCACATGCTTTTTCTTTCTTTTTCTTTTTTTTTCATGCTGCGACCCAGCACAATTCCCTACCGTCCACATGCTTTTTCTTTTTTTTTTCTTTTTTTTAATTTGGACCATTTCTCGATTTATGCGTGTCATCCTTGCGCAGGGGCCATGCTAATCTTCTCTGTATCGTTCCAATTTGAACGGATGTCCACATGCTTTTTCTTTCTTTTTCTTTTTCTTTTTCTTTTTTTTGTTGTTGCCTACCCTCCGCATGTTTTGTTTCTTGCCTACCCTCCAACACCTAACATAACCCACCTAATTTTACTATCTTCCTCACCCCCCATACCAAATCCAGCACAATTCGCTACCCTCCCCATATTTTTTTTCTTGCCTACCCTCCAACAGCTAATTACTTTACCGTGCAGTAGACAATTCATTCCACTATTCCACATGCGCTTCCTTTCCGTTTGGCTCCACTTCCTCTCAACCACAAATTTCCCCCTTTGTGGAGCTTTCTCGTATATTTTCTCTGCTTTCAAACTTTTTCTCTCTGTTCTGCTTTTTCCGCCTTCCTGTCCGTTTCCATCCATCACCTTTCACTGCACACGTCTCCTCTTATCCTACCACTCTCCCAAAAGAACACCACTCCTCGCCAATTTTGATACACACATCTTCAATTTCTATGTTTTTTTTTCATCAAATCAAAAGCAATTGCGGATAACGGAAATCAAACCCATATCCCGTTCCTCCTTCTCATCTGACAGTACTGCATTTCTCCAATTTGCCACGTGCAATGAGCTGCAAACTTGTGGGGAGCAGAACTGCAAGGAGGGAAGCATAAGGAGCACACCGACCCCAAACACTGCGAAAACATCAGCCCATGAGTCCACCAACCCTTCAACTCTGTCCAACAGCGATAAATCCGATGGTCTACAAACTGGCACCGAAGTACCACACAGTTCCAGGGTCCCAGCAACTCAGCCAACAGGGGAGTTAAATACGGGGGATACAATCCGCTTCAGTCAGGGACAAGATGTGGCTTACAGATGGACAAGTGGAGCAAGTGGGTAAAGCTGCTATTATAACCTGGGACGTCTCATCGCTCATCAAGGAGAGAGGGAGATCAGACGGTTCTCAGTGAATCCTTTCAAGTACATCACAATGAGAGGTAGACAATGCTACAAAAGGTCGAGGCAAACGAGCAAGGTTACCATTAAGCTACACCCATGGCACGGTCATTCCGCAAACGTTCAAAGCAGATCAGGCCGCTCCACAAAGGAAGTATAGGATGGTTCAAGAGTGAGGGTCTAACCGGGCAAAAAGGGCAAGGATCTTCGAAATGAGAGAAAACATGTCTATGTCCCATGCTGCAGACTTTGTGTTGACTTGGTTCTGAGAGGACTGGGTTGGTTAACGCTCCACAGAGGGGGGTCAGTAAGGGAGGGGGGAGGGAGGAGGAGGGGCGTATGGAGAACAGTCTACACAGAATAAGTCTAATTAAAATAACATTGACAATCACTTGAGGCAGAAACATAGAATCGCAATGCTGAGTTCAGACCTCTTATCCAAATTCAGAAACAAGTTTAAAGGGTTGAGACCTCTATACAAATGTTACAATCCTGGCCAATTTGGAAGTGCAAAATTCACGAGAAAGCGCAATGCCATCCATTGCAAAAGAAATGAATGAACTTGAGAGGAGAGAGAGGGAAAGAAGAAGAAGAAGAAGGAAGAAAGAAGAAGAAGAAGGAAGAAAGAAGAAGAAGATGTACACCAGCAAAGACCAATGATAATCTCCCTTCTCCTCGCCATCAAACAATAAATAATAATAATGATGAAGAAGATGGTGACCACCATAGCCAGGTAAGTACCCCTGGCGCTCCCCTCTCCTAGTCCCCTTCTTCCTCCTCCTACCCGAGCTCCTACACCATAGCCAAGGTGGAGAACTGGTCCCTTACCTTCTTCCCCAGCGCTGGACTCAGCAGCGCTTCAACCAGCGCTCCAACCAGCGCTCCAGCAGCGTGTTGCCAAACTTGCACACAGCAAATGAGGAGGAGCTCTTTGCTCCCCCTGGAGATATAGCCGCCAACTTGCCTGCTGGGCGGTGACTTCCAGGTCGCGCAGCCTCCAAGCAACCAGTGCCTCCTCCCTTAGGAGGGAAACATCATTGCAGACTCTGATATTGCCCGTACACGCCCTAGACTCAGACTACTTGGACTGGTACCCGCCTAGACCTAGCCTACAACTACCGGGCCTCTAAAAATGCCAACTTTTGTCTTCTTCTGCTCGGCCTCCAGTCCCCGACACATCTACCGCTACTTGAGTGGTACAAGCCTACCTACTACTTGAGTGTTGTTCCCTGCTTCTCTAAGTGTCGCGGGCCTACTCCCGCCACTTGAGTGTTTTCCCCGCTGCAACCCTCAAAAGTCATGGCCACAGGTAAGTACCAGCCATGTGGGGCCTTCCAACAAACAAGTGCCCTTGCGGGTCACACACACACACTCAGGGCGACAAGCACTCAGTCAGGCACGCAGACCAGCAAGCATGCACACACACAGACTTAGAAAACTCAGCAGAAAGCGGGAATCTCAGCAAGGCATTCATTCTAGCGGCAAAACTTCAAAATCAGCTGTGTTCTCGGTCCGTGTTTGGGCAGGTCCTTACACAAATGCAGAAACAAGTTTTAAAAACTCAGGAAAAAAACACGGCAATGAATAATAACTAGACATCCATTTGATTCCCGGCGAACCCCTGTGTGGCATTCTTCGGGTTCACTGACTGAGAAAGTCAGTTTGTCCCTCCTGGCTTGTTTTGGAAGTATTGGGCACTCTCCAGCCCGTGCAAGGTGTTAGGAGCTTGGGTGCTGCTCCCTGCACAGAGCAGAGTTAGGTAGGTGAAGTCCCATAACCTAAGGATAGCTTAGGTCAAGCTAGTAGATGTATGGTAACCCTGCATAGAGTTTGCCTTAGACCATAGCCTTAGACTCCAGTGGGTAGGGCATAGATATGGGTAGCTAGCATCAGGCGAGAGAGACGAAATTGGATAGGGAAAAAAATACAACTGTCCCCCGTATGAGGAGAAGACGGCTGTATTTTTTCAAAAACAAAAAAGAATAGTTTCCGGGTAGCCCCCTGATCCATATCAGATCCAGCATCCTAACAATGTCCAGGACCTCCATGTGGTTTGGATTCCGGTGTTTGAATGGGTCCAGTGTCCTCATATGGTGTAACCGTGCGGGTCGTATTTGACACTACAGTGACTACACACAAAATGAGAAAGAAGACAACCAAAAAAAGAAAAAAGAAAGAAAGAGAAAGAAAGCAACTCACGATGGCTATCTGCAACAGGCAGCTGCAATGTTGTATTTGACACACAGCTTGACCATGCAGAGTCTGTGTCTGAGGCAGAAGTACTCCCATCTCCTGACAGAGCAACAGCACATTCCACACGCCTGCCAACGATCCGTACACGAAGCCGCTCCGCATAAGTATCAGCATCACAGGATGATGCACGCAGGGCTGCCTCAAGAAGGCTCTGGGCTTCAACCTGCCTAACGCCATTCTTCCCCCATGCCTGCACCCCAAAAAAGACATGGGAAAAAAAAAAAGGCAGAGAAAGGGATTGTAAGCGACAGAACCAGAGAAGCAGATACGAGAGAGAAAATCAGCACTGATGAGAAAGCGCTTCACGAATCAACATGTTCATTTTTTTCTCACCTTGAAAACACACGCACACACAC